CGGGTGATGCTTTTGGTTGTAATCGTCAGGTTCACGGTAACTTCAGTATTCTCACTGATAGCGATTTATGCTATTGCTAACATTTCCGCAGAATCGTCAAGCATTTACCCCTTATAACTGTTCCTCTTTCGGAATCGGAATGGACCAATCATAAACGCTCTTGAATGCACATCCAGTGTAATGAGAATGAACAAAGTCTAGCTAAAATTTTAATCTACGCAATTTCTACCGTCCAACGATAACCCCTTTCTACGAAACGCTTACTTCATAATTGGGTTTTCAGCACCATAACAGCTTCCACATTGTTCATCAGTTGATGTGTAGCTGCTGGTAGTAACGACGTTGATGTCTGAAAAAATTATAATTATGCATAAATACCGGATAATATAAATAAGCTATACGCGACTTAAAAGGAAGAGCAGATACTGAACATGAAAGAATAAAAAAAGCACCTTAATTCTGTGAGGCATCATCAAAAGCAAACGTAGCCAGCAGAGCCGCCCATAAGGCAGTTCAATCACGCAGGAATATCCTGAAGCAGTTACCGATGACATGCAAGAACATAAAATGACAAAAAAACTATTCTGTCATAAGCAGTATGAAAATTTAGATAGTTGCAATGGTCGGATAGCTGCAGTACAGTTTCGGAACGACGCTGAACGGGGAAAACCAAGAAATGCAATGCACTTTCGACTAGGGAAAATGAACCAAAACTTTGTAAACAGCGCAGAATTGTTGTGTAATATCTGTCAGATTATTTCTTGAATAGAGAAGCAAACTTTTCCAAAAACTTCGCAGGGTTCTGCTGATGAACAAACTAAGAAACTGACAAGTCTACTTAGTGCTTAGTTCAAAACGAAAAGCATCAGAGCAACAGCAATAGTCACATGAAACATGATCGTGACAGAAGCCAAGGAAGGAGAGTAAATTAAATAACTCCCCCGTCCATGGACGACTCGAGGGTGACGGCAAGTAAAAGTCTAGGCAAAGGAAATAGGTGCTGTGACTAAAATGTAACCTTGCTGTCGAGGATCTTTAATACTTTTTAGTCCATTTGGTTAGCACATGTGGAAAAGATACGTCATGACAAATGCCAAGCAAAGAACTGATACAGTTTACTGTTGTTCTGAACGGATTTCACGGCTTAATGAACCGAGTCCTTAGTAAGGAGCGAGGAATATCAGTTCACGCAAAATCGTCTGAAATGCAGAGACGGCTCTTGGGAACAAAGTTATGTGAGATTCATGTGACACTGCATGTACTCAAATACCACAGAGCCGTGGCCTGCTTAAATGAACTCTCACCCATACTTAACAGGGCGCGAAAAGACACTGCAATACGTCGTGAACTTTTGTCCTGAGAGAATCATACAATATTTGACTTACGCAGGCGCACAAAAAAC